AAAAGAAATGCAAAAAATTTACTGTTAATAACTCATTCTCGAATTGCTCCCCTTGAAAGTTAAATTGGCCCCCTGTTGGGTGTGTGCCAAGCATTGGGAGCTACTGGGTTAGAGCATTGGCCTTTGCACCTTTCAATTCCCAGTCAAGGGCACATACCTTGATTGTAGTCTTGATCCCAGAAGATTTTTCTCTCTCTCTCTCTCCTTTCTCCCTTCCACTCCCACTAAACATCAATGGGAAAATTTCCTCGGGTGAAGATTTTTTTTAAAATAACAAAACCCCCAGTGATGTTTGCTAGGTTATTCTTGGAGATGGGAGACTTATCTTTCTCACATTTTTTGAGCAGATAATTATGTAGCTGTACTACCAAGATCTGTAGGAAGTAAATGAGAACAGCCTCTCCAGGACTGTGGATGGAGTTCTTGGCAGGAAACTTATTTAGTGTGGTATGTGGAAAGCACATGGGCTGAGGAGGCAGGAAGACCTTTGTTCTAGCTTTGGCTCAGTGTGTGTGTGTGTGTGTGTGTGTGTGTGTGTGTGTGTGTGTGTGTGAGAGAGAGAGAGAGAGAGAGAGAGAGAGAGAGAGAGAGAGAGAGAGAGAGAGAGAGAGAGAGAGAGAGAGACAAGATGGCAAACCCTCAACCTTTCTGGGCCTTAGGCTAGATATATTACAAGAAGAGGACTCTCTAAGATCCTTCCTTTGACTGATCAGGGCACCAGGAATAGAAAGGACGTTTTAATTTTACAACATTTTTTAAGATGTCTTAAGCAAAGAAGTTAGCTTAATTTCATCTTGTAAAGTCAAGAGGAATAAATCGCTTATCTTACTACTTTGAGTAAGGAGAATTAGAGAAAGGATCATATGTGACTCGTGTATTTATACTCTGATCTAATATTAGGTAAGTGACATTTTGTAGTCGAGAGGCCCAATTACAACACCTGGAAGTAATCTGGTAATAGAATGACTCAGAGGAATACTAAATCACTATTTTCCCTTGAGAAAACTGAGAAAGGTGTTTATCTACTTTTTTTTTTTCCCCATTGGGATATGTGCATGTCTTGGGATTGAGGATGCTGGTAGATAGCTTCACTGTGGGTAGTAGTCAAACATCAGATTTAAGGTCCCACTGAAGATCTTTCATTGATGAGCTCATACGTGGTGAAGGCTGTCAGCCCTGAAATTAGCAATAGAATGCTGCTCAAAGTGGTTGTTTGTCATAATCTCAGCTGGGCATGGTCACAAGCTTGGTGGGCAGAGAGAATTTTGAAATAATGCCATGCCATAATTGTGAAAGAGCTAGGAAACATGCTGACTGAATAAAATATGCACAGCAGTCACATGGTGACTCTTTTTGAGGAAAGGCTTTGTTCTGGTGGAGTCCTGGAGGGTGGGCCACTGACAGAGGCTCCAGCCAGGACAACGAGGGAAAGTTCATGCAGTGGACATTGGTTGTTTCTCTCTGTTGTCATCACTTAGAGGACTAAAATATAATTGAAAAGTTTTATTTACCTCTCTATCTAGAGCTTCTAGGGGTGAAAAGAGAATTGTTTCATTTCTAAATACATTTCATTTTAGTAAATAAAGCTTCATGGATAAATCCAAGTAAAATTCAAAACAAATTAGAAACTTGGATACAAAATATAAGTGTTAATGCCACCATACAGAACACCTCTCTAAGAATGCAGAGATCAACATTCAGTAGCTTCTGTTTTAACTTGAGTGAGAGAAACAGGTAAATAGCTACTCTGTTCAAGGCTCTGTACTAGATGTTGATACGACAAGGTAATCATTTGATACAGTCCATGTTTTCAAGACATTTATAGTCCATTTATAGGGAGAGGAGTAAATGTGTAACCAGAGCACAGGGTTCATGGAGTCATATGAGGGATGAAATCATTAGAATACATAACAGAAATTGATTCAGGGAACTTTAAATTTGTTCTAAAAATGGAACTAAGCAGTTTTAAGGAACTGTTCCTTCAGTGGTTATAGTAAGCTGCGCTTAAAGTTGTGTTCCAAGAGCTGCACAGTTCTGATGTTAAGGATGATAATAATAGCCAAGAATTTTACAATGCTTTCTCTGTGTCAGGCACAATTCTAGTGCTTTTCATATAACAAGTTATGTAATCCTAACAGTAATCCTATAAAGTAGGTGTTAATATTAGCCAATTAACTTAGGCCCAGAGAAGCCTAGTTACTTAATAACAACTAGCATTTAGTGGATCTGGAATTTGGTTCCAAAGTTCATATTCTAACTACTGTCCTAAGACTTACAGAATTAAGGGAGTCATCTTCTGGGAGAACCATTGTTGTACATTTTTGTACTTAGAGCAGCTTAGTATTAATGAATCCATAAGTGAGCACGTAGGAGAAGAAATTGTATATACATATGTCTTTTTATTGTCTAGAAATAAAGCTTATCTTATAATTATTGGAATTGCCTTGTACTAGCTATAAATTATAATAGAATTTTTAAGTTAAAATTATAGGAAATATCTTTTGATCAAACACTGTTCTCCATGAATTTATAGAAAAGGGCCTTCTTGGTTTTTAAATATCTCTAAAAGAGAATCCATAGTCTTCCGCAATCAGGAGCTGAATGCCATAGCTCTTTGAGGTAGGGATTTCCTATTCAGCCCAGTGTCCTCCTGGTCAGTTGGAGCTTGCTTTCTCTATCACTCATCCTTTGAAATGTCTATCTCTTTTTAAACACTAGAGGCCTTTAATTTATAAGCTGGATTTGTAAATTGATGGGGCCTGGCCTGGTTGGGCCTGTGGTGCATGTGGCTTATCTCCGGGTTTGGAGGCCTGTTATTTGCTGCTCTCAGGGAAGTAATAAGAGCTTTGGTGACCTGGTTTGCCCACAATTTATAGGCTCACATCTAGATGATCTGAAGGAAAAAAGAATGGAACCAAAAAGTCAAAGTCATGGTTGTAAACTACAAGGAAAGTTAGAATTTTAAAACCAGCATCAGTATGCTACAGACAAGAATTAGAAGTTAGAAAGAGCCTAGAAGGAGACATTTTTAATTAAAGCAGTCCTTAAGACATTTGAAATTGTTAGGATGATTTTAAATAGGAAACCCTTTGGCTTTAAAAAGAATCAAGGATTCAGTTTTCTGTATATAGTGTTAAATATAAAGACATTCAAAATTTAAGAGGAAAAGTAATCTTTTTATTAAAGCCATTTTGATTTATGGTTTTCTGACCTTTGAAAACCTCCCTGCATCCTGATAAATATATTGAATTGTTTTAAAATGGTATTAAAATAATTTCTTTCACAAAAGCAAGTATTTTTTAATGTAGCAGTTAGGAATATCGTTAGGAAAATTATTGAAAGTGATATCTACCAGAAAGCTGAATAGTATATTTATTTTTCTATACCAGTGGTCGGCAAACTCATTAGTCAACAGAGCCAAATATCAACAGTACAACGATTGAAATTTCTTTTGAGAACCAAATTTTTTAAACTTAAACTTCTTCTGATGCCACTTCTTCAAAATAGACTTGCCCAGGTCATGGTATTTTGTGGAAAAGCCACACTCAAGGGGCCAAAGAGCCACATGTGGCTCACCAGCCACAATTTGCCGAGGGGAGGACAGTTCAGGTTGATCAGGCTAGTGGGGGAAGCAGTTGAGGGCAAGCAGGTTGGTGGTGGTGGGACTGGGGGCAAACAGGTTGGTGGGGGGGGGCAATTGGGGGCGATCAGGCCAGCAAGAGGGGGCAGTTAGGGGCAAGAAGGCTGGCGGGGAGGGGCAGTTGGGGGTGAGCATGCTGGCATGCAGAGTGGTTAGGGGAGATCAGGCAGGCACACAGGTGAGTGGCTAGGAGCCAAGGGTCTCAGATTGGAGAGGGTGCAGGCTGGGCTGAGGGACACCCTCCCTGAGCACAAATTTTGTGCACCGGGCCATTAGTTGATAAATAAAGAAAATAATATTTAGACCTCATATGGACAATTAACTAAAAATAAAAGTAAACTTTTACAGATGTAATATTTAAATCAACTATGGACTTAAAAGAAATTTACTAAGATAATTTGTCTAAGTTTTATTTTCTATTTTGTTTTTTAAAACTTTAATTTTATTTACAAAAGGAATATAAAGTACTTTGAAAAAAAGCATGACAGATCAAAGTTCCTTTTGACTTCTATCTTCCCATCATCCCAGAAGTCACTATTTTACCATTGTTTTATCCAAATCATTTTTGAATATTTATATGCATGTATTTCTATGCATATAACAGAAATGTGTTTTGAATGGATGTTAAAAAAATAATTCCCAGATTGTATTTGCTAGTTCGTTCTAAATGTGATCTTGCAATATGTTTTGGTTTTGATACTTCAGTGATATTAATAATAGCAACAGATGTTTATTGAGTAGCTATTATGTGCTAGTCAAGATATTTAACATTTTATATATAATTTATTCTCATAATCTTCATAATGAGTTTTGGAGGTGTGAACCCTGAGAAGGAATATATCCACCAAGAAAGACTCCTCATGGTTATGGGCCCAAAATCATAATCATATTCTAGCAGCCATTGCTAACAGAAGTCTCTCACAAGCTGCATTTCAGGGCAAAGCTACAGACTGAGCTTCCAAGCTTCCTCAACTGTGCTCCTGCTGTCTGATATGACCCTTGTGAGGGAGTTGCTGGTATCACCTTTCACCCAATGCACTGAGACCTGCCCTGACCAATTGGAACTCTATACAACTGTATCCTCATTTGCATGTATGCTAACGAATCAGAGAAGCTCCATGATGACTAATTGAAATTCATGAAGCTCACCAATCAGGACAGTGCTATTTGAATCAATCAGAACTATGCTGTTTGGATTCCTCATTTGCATTAAAATGAACCAATTGGGAACTAGAGCAGGAACTTCTCTATAAAAAGTGCCCTCCCTTTTGACTTGGTGAAGCACACTTTTGGTTTTCATCAGAGGCTGCTTTCCCCCAATTTGCAAATTGTTCACTTCAAACTCCTCTTTTTACCGCAGCCCAAATTGGAGATTCCTGTTGGCACTGGGTTGGTGGGAGCAACCTTTTGTTGAAATAGGTGAGTGTTCTATATTCATTTTATATTATTAAAAATTTACCTTAATTTTATCTCACATTTACATTAAATTGCTAATGCCAGTAGTTTATCATCCTTTAATGGGTATTCAAAAAGAAAACATGTATAATGATTTAAAAATTGGTAGGAATATAACTTCTAGTTCTGTTTTGTTATTCATATGACTTTTTCTACCAAATCCCTGGACTATCTTTGCTAAGCCAGAAGGCTGGAAATAAGAGGGTTACTCCTGCTCACCTTTTAGGAATGTGGAGGCATTTTTGTCATATCTGACTCATTCTCCAGGAAGAAAAGATAACCCCAGACATTTCCTCAGTAGTTAATGCTTTTAAAAAACCTAAGGTTGTGATGATGTTCTTGTTTGAGGGAACTATTATGGGAAATAAGATCTAGGAGAAAAGAGGTTTGTTTTTGAAAGATGCTTTTCATTATGCCCTTAGTCATACTGGTATGAGGAAATAAAGGTTGCTGTAATGAGAACTCTGAGAATTTTTATGGGAATTGGTAGGAAGGAAGTGATATTGGGTGGGTTGAGAGAAAAAATGGTTATGCTTATTTTGTATACCCTGATTTTGGACTTTGGACGAAGATATTTCAAAATTACATGACAAAATTGAGATTTTATGAATGGGATAGCTGTCAGATATAAATCACAGTTCTGCTGTTTAATTAGCTGGGTAACCTTGACAAAGTCACTTTATACTACTTCAATAAAATAATACCCACCTTATAAAGATGCAGGGTTGAAATTACATTAAGTATTTTTATACATTGCAAAGCGCTATACAAATGTGCAATGTTAGTTGATATTTTTGCTGTGTTTATTATATTTGTTGTCAAGGCTCTCTACAGTTTGCATCTTTTACTTACTTTAGCTTCTGTTCTGAAGACTTACAAAGCTTGCTTCTGTCTTTTATTACTTGAAAGAGAATACTATATGAGGGTTCTGTTATTTTCAGAAAAGAAAAAGAGACCTTTTTGCTGAATCAGTTAACAAAATTTGAAGGCCTAATTCTATATATCAATCATAATTTCTTCAAGCCTGATGTAAGAACTGAAAATATTACTATAGTTATTCTCCATGAGAGGAGATATGCTGAAGGTCCCAACAATTAACATTTGGTTATCATCATTAGTGTTTATAGATATTTTTACCTTTTGTTTTCAAGGTATTAATAAAGTATTAATTATTGTCAACTTTTAAAAGTGTTTCCTAATAATTTTTATTGCACTAGACCATTGTTTGAAAAACAAAAATTATCTTGCTATAGTTTCTTTTTGGTTATATAATCCTTAAATTATTTTGAAATCTCAATATACAATGAGGATATGAAGTTTTTGTGCTTAACAGAACATGACATGAGTTAAAAATCATTAAGAAGCACTAAAAGGCCTGGTTAGTGTGGCTCAACAGTTGAGTGTAGATCCAGGAATCGAGAGGTCACTGGTTTGATTACGGGTCAGGACACATGCCCAGATTGTGGGCTCTATCACCATGGAGGGAGAGGGGACATGCGGAAGGCAGCTGATCAATGATGTTTCTCTCCTCTTCCGTCCCCTTTCTCTAAAAATCACTAAAGACATATTTTTAAAAACAACAACAACACTGAAAGTGAACTCTTGTTTCCAGATGAGGAGATAGCTCCATTGGGTTTCCATTTGGTACACTTAAGAGTCCACATTATACTGGGGAACTGCTCTATGGTTAGAACCCCAATTAGAAGTCTGGTTTATTATTCAGGAGTTTTTGTTTATTACCGTGCTTCCTCTCATTCTACTAATGTTTTTCCTAATGTAAATTTTGTATCAACTCCAAATCTATGGAAAGAGCAGGACCGTTAGCTTGTCACAGAGTCCTTAGACTGCCTATCTATGAGCCAGTTTTAAAAGTACATCACAACTCATTTTTATTCCACAATATTTTAGAAATTAGACATTAATCCTTTAGCTTTAAGGTGACTAGGAAGTCTACAATTGAAATCTCATTTGCCATTTGAATGATGTGCCATTTATTGTACAGAAACACTATGGGTACAGGATATTTCTTGAAGAATATATATCTATGCTTTGGAGGAGGCACTTTGCTGGGGGAAAATCCTTTGGTTTTATTGTTACCCCTCTGGATAGTTCTAAAAAGTTTACCCTTTTCACTTTAATTGGTGGTTTGCTTTGTCATCTCTGTCCTCACTTTCATTTATTTGTTGACGTACTCTTTGTGGCAGAACATCTCTATCCTGAATTATGTCAATGGGAAAAGTTAAATCTTATTTCAAAGGAACTGTGAAATTCCATTCCATATTTTAAACTTAGTGTATTGGAAAAATCACATTTTTCTTCATTTTATTTGGATACCCATGCCCTTATTCTCTGAGGATTGTAATGAGTTTTTAATCTTTCTCACCTATTAAGGAGCTGAGAATTTTCCCCTTTCCAGAAGCATTTCTTGTATTAAGAGAAACTTATTTTCTTGAGATCTCAACAAGAGTTCTTCTCTAAGGAGTCTAGGATCTGCAGTCACATTTGCTTTTCCAAATTAGCAACTAGGAATATTTTAACTTGCCTTGACTATAACTAAGTTACTTTTAAAACAAAAAGTTCATAATCAGTTGAATTATCTCAGCTTCTGGCTTACAGTCCTAAAGAAACTTTTACATAGAGTAGACAAAGGCAGGAGTAAGAATTTCTGATTCGATTGCATATTATTTATTATGGAAAGAATGTTTTCCCTCCAGACTGACTAGGAACAAGATGTTTAAACATAAGCCAGGGTGGAGACCAGTTTGTTTGGTCAACTTCAGAGGAGCCACGTTTTCCTACTTACCATGAGTCCACCAACTATTCACCCCACCCCCGCCCAATTCTTCAAGTTACTTTGGAATTTTTACTTACGGCTCTGTTGGATACGGCAGTGATACAGTGCAAACGTGGCAATAAGAAAGGCTGAGGCTGTTTTTGTATCAACGTGATTTTATGTCATTATGAATTTATGTTGTACTGTGTGTGTTTAAATATATAAAATGTTTTGTTTTGTTTTTTCTTTTCCCCGGTCCCCCTCTGCTATTGGCTTCTGTATTCCCATAGCTGGATTTTATGCAGCAGGACTCCATTTATCACAGGCAGTGGGAGGGGGGTACAGAGATATGAAAGGGTTACTGTTCACATTTCCTGTGTAATTCCCTGTGATCTTACTGAGCTGTATGTAATTCCTTTCTTGATGTTAAACATTCCCAGGCTCCTATAACCTTCTAGCCTACTTGTACTGGCCAAGTTTTTCCCAGGTGATCATATGGGCAAATCTCCTGTTTTTAAAGATTAGTAATCACTCCTTCCTCCATGAGATAGGCTAAATGCTCATTCCTTTGCACTCCCAGAAGAAATCCTTTTGATTTAAAACAGGAACAGAGAAGTAATATATTAATTTTAAAATTTAAATTCAATAGCCACGTTTGTTGTCAAGTTAATTAATTGTGTATATTTAAAAACCTTCTGATTCTTGGTTTAGTGGATTTCTAGTTAAATGAAAGCCCCTTGATCTATTAAAGATTATATTCTACCTTCTTAAAACACACTTAAAAATGGATTCTAATTCTAAAAAGGTAGATTTGAATCTATCATCTTTTAGTTTATTTAATAGGTAGATCATTTTAACTTGCCTCAGATATAAAGCTGCTTACCTGAAACTTCAACATTTCTGCTTCAGTTCCATTCAGAAGATGGTAGTTGAGCATAGGGAGATACTTATTATTTTCTGCTTTTTCTCTGGTTTTAAAAGTACATTACAGCTCATTTTTATTCTACAATATTTTAAATCTACATTTTTGTTTTTGGAAAAAGGTATTCTGTTTTTGCATTTGCCTTAAATTTTAGAAGAAAATGTTATGCTCTTGTGAAGCATAAGAATGTGTCAGCAGCTGCTCATAAATTAATAGGGACCAGTACTGGGCCAGTACTGCCTTCTCATAGGTAATGAACTTTTGTTTAGACACACCTCTGGGTAAATTTCTTTGTATAACTTATAGCACATCTCTGTGTCCCAATACAACAACACAGAAACCTAGAGGTTTTGGGGATGAACAAAAACAAAACCATGTCTCTTTGAAGGAGTTTCTTTTTTTTTTTTTTTAATATGTAATATATTTTATTGACTTTTTACAGAGAGAAAGGGAGAGAGATAGAGAGCTAGAAACGTCAATGAGAGAGAAATATCGACCAGCTGCCTAAGGCACACCCCCTAGCGGGGATGTGCCCGCAAACAATGCACATGCCCTTGACCAGAATGGAACCTGGGACCCTTCAATCTGCAGACCGACACTCTACCACTGAGCCAAACTGGCTTCGGCATCTTTGAAGGAGTTTTAAATTTCTAAACTAAATTTAAGTTTGCTGATATTTAGGCCAAAGAAAAGTAATTGCATTGCTTAAAGCAATGAGATAAAATGTTTTTATCCACTTAACCAAGTGTGTTATGGTTTTACATGGACATGGGTAGATGAGTTTTTAAATGGATTCTATTTAGACCTACTTTAGAGAGCCTACATGCATGGTTTTTAATTCTCATTCAACTTTAAATTCCTCAATTTCTAAAAAACCTATCACAAGTAGGTTTTCAATAACAGTTTGTTGAATGAATGAATGAATGAATGAATGAAAGGACTGCAACTGCCACATTACTTTAGTAGATCCTTAATTGTTTTATATACACTGAGTGGCCAGATTATTCTGATCTCTGAACGCATAATAATCTGGCCACTCAGTGTGTGTGTGTGTGTGTGTGTGTGTGTGTGTGTGTGTGTGTATTAGAGGCCCAGTGCATGAATTCATGCATGGGCGGGTCCTGCCAGCCTGGCCAGGGGGAGGGGAGTGGTTGGCTGGCCTGCCTGCTGGTCGAACTCCTGGTCAAGGGGACAATTTCCATATTAGCCTTTTATTATATAGGATATACACTGAGTGGCCAGATTATTATGTGTTCAAAGATCAGAATA